GGGCCGGCACGAGTGGGGCCGGCCGGCGTCGCCGCTCGCCCTCCCGTCGGCTGTGGTGCGGGTCACCCGCAGGTGTCTTAGGCTCGGGGTTGTTGGGGATGGGGAATGTAATGAAAGGCTTCTTTGCCTCCCAAATTTCCTACTGAGAAAGAGGAAGGGTTGAAGATGACGCGGGGGGGGGGCACCCCGAAAGATGGTGGCAGAGTAAATTCCAGCACCCCCCCGACAGCCTTTGCCTGAAAATAAAATATTCTGAGCTGAACCTTTAGAAAGAAATCCCGCCTTTAAGAGAGACGTAGAGGGTCTCGTTCTTTTTCATTCTGGTTTGATTGTATAATAATGATGATATAATGCTAATGACGAGGATGACACTGCCTTTTATTTTTACCCCGTTGCTGTCAAAGCGTAGCTACAGCTGGGGATAAAAGCCCTTGAAAATCTGATGTGTGAAGAGGGAATACTGTTGCTCTTGGAGTTGTCTTTATTTATTTATTTTATAAAGATATGCTTTTTTAGAATTGAAATTTGACAAAATGAAGCCTCTCTTCTTTCTCAGTTTGTAGCCAATGCTCATAAAATGGGGATTGGCTACTACTACTGCCTTGAATATGGAAAAATAAATGATTTTACCTGGTATAATTCTATGCAGTAAGTCACCCCTTTCTCTTTTGCTTTGAATTTCTCAACAGTGTTTAAAATGAAGAAGTTTAATTTCCGAAAAGTTTTGGATGGCTTAACTGCCTCCTCCCCTGGCAGTGGCAGCAGCAGCGGCAGTAACAGCGGTGGGGCTGGAAGTGGTCCCTTGCATCCAGGAGGGACAGCTGGAGTTCTCAGAGAGGAAATTCAGGAAACCTTGACTTCAGAGTATTTCCAGATTTGCAAGGTAAATTTTGCTTGAGGCCTATTATTTCTTTATTATATTGCTCTGGAGAAACAAGAAAATAAATAAATAAAACATCACATTAGGAATTGTTGACTGGGAATGGTTGAGATGCCAGCATCAAAGACAGTGGTGCAAAGAATCCTGTGAATAGGTCAATTTGAGTTAATAAAGATATTTCAGGCATCAACTTTGGCATCAACTTAATTAGCAATGGTAGTTTAAGGGAAGAAATAAGCATAAACAAAAAGTAGAATCTGCAAGATAATGCTAAGGCCCGGTAGTGGATGAAATGTGATATTTATATATAAGCAGTAAACTAAAGGAGAAAATAGTCATTTGGTTTCCTGTGCTGTCATTCAGACAAGTTAACTGGCATTCTGTTTCACTGTCTAGCCCAAAGTTAACAGAGCTATTAATACATTTCTAGAATTAAATAGACAGTGGAAAAATAAATAATTTATTTTAAAGGGTCCAATGTCACTGACTTAAAATTCTGAACATAAAAATTTCCCTAAATTTTTCATCTCTTCATATGTATGTAAGTAAACAGCAAATGCATGCTATGGGCTTGATACTTATTGAACTTGTACTACTTGTAAGAACTTCAAAATAGGTAGTATTGTAACTTACTAAGAAAGCATTTTAGGTAATTATTCTTTGATGTTGAACGTCTAATGAAAAAAAAAATTTTGACAGGGAGCAAAGATGAGAATTCACAAAACAAGTATGTTAATATATATAGCATCACTTTATGACATGGTTATCTTTCTTGTCATTTTTAGAGTTTCCTCTGAATGTGCTTTTGATGTGGTTTATGCAGATGAGTATAGTTTTATGAATATGTTTGAATATATAAAAAAAGTAAACTTTTAAAACTACAGAAATTAAGTACCAAATATTTTGATATTTCAACAAGTTTTTTTAAAAAGTATTGAAATTATTTTTGGGTAGTACACAAATGTAGAATGGCACAAGAAAAACAGTAACTATACATTTATTAGTTTACTTAAAAGCCAAGTTTATTTAGAATTAGATTTAAAAAACAGATTTAATTTTAACCTATCTTGTAAAATTTGTAAACAATAGTGATTTCCCCCTCAATATGAAGAATAGATATTCTGTGATATTAGGGAAGAACTTAGTAATGGTTATGAAATAAATATGTAAGTCTTAGTGACCAAATTTGGACTGTTAGTCAGGGAATTAAACCCTGATTTTGTAATCTTTGACATATTGCTATTTCCAATCCTAGAGTTTGAAAAAATTTCATTTCTACATTCTCTGTATTCATGAATGTCATAGTGATGCAAGAAGAATTTCACTAGAGATAAAATTGGTATAGGAAGGGTAAACTTCTAAAGCAGACTTTTATTAGGTGGTTGAGGTTATAAAGCTGGTACTGAAGACTTCAAAGTAAAAAGTTTCAGAGAACTGTGAATGTAAAAGAAAATGAAATGTATAGCCATTTAGCTACTTATTAAGAAAAGAGCTGGTCATGAGACCTGTCAGGAGTTAAATATGCACTACTTTGAAAGCATGGCATGGAATAAAGAGCACTAATCTAGGAATAAGAAAATTTTTTTTTTATTTAAAGCTTTGCCATTTGCCAGCCGAATTATCTTGGGCAAAACATATGTCTCCTTTTTCCCTTAAGATTTAATTTTTTGCAGTAGTATGAGGGTAAATATTTCTGCTTCCCTTATCTGAAAGAAAGAGGATTACTGGAAGATCAGACAAGATAATATGGTGAAGGCAATACATAAATTGGAAGGGGTGATACAATGTATATTTGTGTTATTGTCCAAAGTTGAAAAAAATCACCTAGCTTGTAGTAGAATACATATAATGAGTATAGTATAATATTATAGGCTATTATAATATTGGGTAATGACTTTCAAATAAATTACAAGGATAATGTGTTAACAGTATTGAAGTTTTACTAAATGGAAAAATATGGCATCTTTGAATAAGAATGTAGTTAATTTAAAAAAAGTGATAATGTGACTGCACAATAGGTACCTGGATTTATAATAAAATATATATATGGGTTAAGGAAATTCCAAAATTAGAACTGTTATTGCAAATGGGAATTCATTTAGACGCATTGATTACATGTGGAAAAAACATTCTATTCTGAGTATTAAGGAATTGATTATTAAGGAGTCTGGGTACTTGTACCTTTCAACATGGCTGATATTAAAGTACTGTATATCTAGACTCTGTTCTTTTGAAAATCATTGCCCTCTCTACTGTCTAATGAGTCATCAATCTGTTTTATTTCTTTAGTGTTTCAGAAATGTACTCCTCCTTTTCTATTCCTAGTATTTGTTCATTCCACCATATTTTTTGGGGGGGTCTTCGCTTTCTGACTGATTTTCTTGCTTTCTGTTTTACTTTATTACATTTTATTTCATTGTAATAATGTTACTTCTGAAATTCAGTGTCAACCATGTCATTTCTCTACTAAAAATTCTGGATTGGTTTCTTTAGAGTGGTGGTTCTCTACAAATCAAAGTTTTATTTGAAACCCCATTAAATAGCACCTATTAAAACAAATAAATATTGTACTTCATTGGCATACAGTATCAGATTTATAAGTTATAATAATAATTTGTGTAGCCATGCAGGAAAAATTTGTTTTTTATATTTGTTTCTTGTTGTATAATTCCTATAGACAGGTTGTAGGATATTTGTTAGAATTTATAAACCAAAAGGGTAAAGGTACAGCTTGCATAATCAATGATGTATCTATAAGAAGTTCAAGAACACAGTAAAAAATTAATACATCAGTTTACTGTAACATGTTTTAAGTTCAGTATGTGTGTATTTACATGCCCGTGTTGTTGAGATAATTGTGGAGTACACAGATGACCTTTCTTGAATGTGAATTCCATGAAACATGGTTTGAAACCACTGTTCTTAAAATCACTCATTCAATTATATATTTATTTATTTTTTATTTGCTTCTCCCATTAGAATGTAAGCTTATCAGAGGCAGGGGATTTATTTTGTTCATATATGTATCACTGATGTATGAAACAGTGCATAAAACATAGAGCATAGTTAAATATTTATCGAATAAATGAATGAATAAATAGCAGCAAGTAAGCTGTTAAACAGTAGCATGTTAAGAGCAAACTAGATGTTATTTTGAACAACTTCTTAGAGAGAGTTTTATGAAACAAATTTTATGTTGCAAAAAGGGAAAGAAACCATCAGTGGAAGTGACACCACCTTGAGAACATGACATAATTTTTTAAAAGTATGGAAAAGATGCTTGTAGATTCAATTAAATTTAATTTACTTTTGATTGGGAAGATATTAGGAACATTCTTATTTCCAAATGGTCACAGGAACCATTGAAAATTATGAGATTGATAGAAACAAATGCACAAGATATATTAGACCTAATTAGTAAATAGACAAAAATAAATATATCACTAGTACCAGGTAATGTAATCCCTCTGAATAAACTCTTAAATTAGCTAACTAATTTACTATTCATTAATTTTGTTAGCTGTTTTATAAATGGTCATGATGTCAGAGCCAAGATAACTAGTATACTTTTTGCAGGGAAATGGATCTGTAATCATGATTGTCATATGATTTGGTATAATATCAGATCTTTGCAGGTAAATAGGAATAAAATCAGAAACGTAGGTATGGACTGTAGAGAGCTGTCCTTCTCAGGGGCCTGAGAGGCAGAAAGGAGATTTAAGTACCCAGATACCCATGAATACTATCTCTTCCTCAAGATTTCTATTTTCTCCACATTCTTCTGATTTTACATTTTATTTGAGTGGTTCTATAACTGAGAGTGGCATAAGACCATAATTACAGTTCCACATTTCTGTAGTTTTCATCTGTAAAAGAAATACATTCCTGAAATGTGTGAACTTATTTCTATGGTTATAAAGTGGTAGAATAAAAGGTAGTACAATTGACGTTATAGGATAATTTATTATGGAGACAGCATCTGGCAATGGCTTCATGTTACTGTCACTAAAACAAGGACAGTAGAGGTTAGACATCTTTAAGAATGGCAATAGAGCCAAACCAGGAAAAATTCAGCTGCCTCTGTTAGGACTAAGATGTTAAGGTAAAGAACCAAAAATAGTTACAATAAATATTTTTAATAACCAGTAATTAAAGAGAAATTGTTATATATCCTAAGATCTCTACTTTGCCTATCTTGAGAGCAAAAGGTATAGGAAAGGTTTGAGTAAATGGTAATATATAGGTAGGAAGTATTTTTACAGTTTTTAAAGTTACTCTACAAAACAACTACATTTTGATACAAAAGGTCCTCTGGTGCTGGTGTATTGTTAAGAAATTGTGATCTTGATCTCAGTATGGAATTTCTGAAGAGCTAACAATGCTGTCATCTTTTGCATATGTCTCAATATAGAACTAATTTAAAATCTTATATAATTTCCAAGTATGCTTATCTATAGGATTATTATCAGTGATTAAGTGAAATTTCTATTGAAGTTTATTGCACTTCTACAGTTGTCTTTCTGCCACCACTTAAAGATGTGCCTTTGAAAATTCAGAGTTAAATTCCATAGTTTAGTTTCTAATTTTAGGGCAATTGTGCTGAGCTAAGGTAATCATTCTGTAAAACCATCTATGTACTGGATTAACAGCCATAACTTTTACTATATTCAATGAAAGAATCAAGTAGAAACCTTGCTTTAAGTTTTTAAATGGAATTTTTTTCCCTAAGAGAAAACTGAGATTTTTGTTTCTACTTAAGTACCAAAATAATAATCTATGTAAAAACTTGTATTTCTAGTGATGGTTATTTTCTTTTTTAATTTAAAAAAGAATATAATTTTTCTTAAATAGTTTTTAATGTTTGAAAAGCAAATTTTATAAAATATGTGATTCACTAGTGTTTTGCATAAAATAAATATTAAGTATATTGACAAATTATTTCTAATTTTCTAGGTAATACTAGATTTTATTTGTAAGGATGAATTAGAAAATTGATGATTATG